AAAAAAAAAAAAAAAAAAAAAAAAAAAAAAAAAAAAAAAATCAAAACCAAATGGGAGCCAAGCCACAGAGAGTTAAAATGACTTAGCCAAGGCCATGTGACTAGTAAGCAGTGGCATAGGTTTGAATACAGGTTCTCAGGCTCCCAGGACAGAATGAAGCACACAGCACAGGGACCCCATGACTGGCACAGCACACCTTGCATCTCAAACACCACACATCCAAAGTAGAACCCTTGACTTCCTCCAAACCTGCCCCCCCACACATGCGCACGCACGCGCAGACACACACACACTGTCTCCTTTGCCTTTCATTTGGTTTTCTCAAGCCTAGAGATGGGGGTTACCCTCGGTTCCCCCATTTCCTTCAACCGACCTCCAATTCTTCAGCAAATTCTCAAACTACACACAGCCCTTCTCCACTGCTATTGCTGTCAACCATTTCAATAACCAATAATAAGTGTCTGCAAGCTTGCTTCCCTGCATCCGTTTCCCATACATCATATTGATTTGGTACCAAGTCACATCATGCTCCTGCTTAAAACTCAGGCTCTACCCACTCCTGATACTCTGCCCTGCAAAACTCCCTCTCATATGAAGCAGCCCTGCCTTCACTGCTTTGTCTGACAGACCATGCCGTCCATTGTTGTCTGGCTATACTGGTCCTCTGTCCATTTCTAGCTCATCCTGTTTCCAGCTCTGGAACTACAGTATTACTTTAGTTTTCCCCTTTGCCTACAGTGTTCTTTCTTCTGATTTCCATATGGTTGGGCCCTTAGACTGTGAGATGTTCCCAAAGAGCGTAGCAGAGACAAAGGTTACCTGTCCCACGAACACCATCCCTTCCTTAGAGAGGGCTTAGCCTTCTAACCCTGCCTGATATCTTGTGGCCAACTTCTTACCAAAAGATGGCAGTGGGAGTCCAGGCCTGGACTTTGAAGGGACAAGTGTGCCTTTTCCATCTGTCCCCTTCTCTAGCCCAGCAGTTCACAACCTGTGGGGCGTGACCCTTTGAGAGTCAAATAACCCTTTCACAGGCATCAGATAACTTGTGTGAGATATGCACATTGCAATTCGTAACAGAAGCAAAGTTACAGTTATGAAAAAACAATAAACATAATTTTATGGTTGGGGTCACCACAGAATGAGGAACTATATGAAAGGGTTGAGAACCACTGGGCTAGCCCAAAGCAGAGGAGTCGGGCCTCTCAGACACAGCCTCTGTTTCCTCCAGGGAGCACAATGTTCCTCATTTAAGAGACACCTATAGACTATTACCTGGGAAGAACGAGTTCTAGGAAGGGAGGAGCAAGATGTACGGGTGAGGCCATAGGGGATTTACATCAAAACAAGAGATGCCAGCCACAAGCGCAAGAGCAAGAACTGTTCTGATTCAGCTGATGCTTGAAAAATTATGCTAATTATCCTTTGTGTCACTGTTTTAACTTCATGGGAAAAAGACATATTTTTACTGATTTTCCTTTTTATATTAGGATTCATACTTTTTGTTTGTTTGTTTGTTTTCAAGACAGAGTTTCTCTGTGTACCCTTGGCTGTCCTAGATTCACTTTGTAGACCAGGCTGGCCTCGAACTCACAGAGATCTGCCTGCCTCTGTCTCCCAGAGTGCTGGGATCACAGGTGTATGCCACTGCACCCTGCAAGATTCATACTTTTATCAAATAATTTTTTTTTTCTGGTCTTAAGAGCTTTTTGGCTTTAGTTTGACAAGTGCCTGAGGTGTTTGAAGGAGACATATTGGTATTACTGTAAAGTGAAAGTGGAGAGCAGAAAGCATGGGGGTGGGGCTTTGTGCACTTTCTGCCCAGAAGGCTGCTCACCATGGGCTCTGTCCTGCAGCTCCATGATGAAGTAATGGATCACGGACATAATGTCACTGCTCTCACACGAGCTTCCCACAAAGTACGGGATCAGCAACACTCCAGGATACTTCTTTTTGAAATAACTGACCCAGTTGCCGATCAGAGTAGACTTCCCACAGCCACGTTCCCCAGACAAGAGCAAGATAGACTTGTAAGTTGGAAGAGAATTTATTCTGAAAAACAGAAGGGTAAATGGTAAGCACAAATATTGAAAGCAGAGGGAAGGAGGGAAGATACATTTCTGGGATACATTTTCCTTCCAAGAGATGTGAAGCTCTGGCCTAAGTTAGGTGGGCTTCAGTTGGCTCCTAGAAGCCATTCCTCCTTTAGCTGCAGTTTTGTAAGATACGAGATTATGAGAGGGGAGACTTGGTAATTTAGGAAGGTTCCTCTGGCTAGATCCTAGGATTACCCGACATGAACTTCAACTATGGTCAAAGCCAAGGGAGAAAAATGCCCCCCGCCCCCCGCAGCCCACTGTCCATCTGCTTTGCCCATCTCACTACCATCAGGCTATCCTTGGTGGCTTACGCATCACCCTGGAAGAGGATGAGGAACAGGAGTGTCCGTACACCAAGAATGAACATCACTCTGAAACCCACAGAACTGGAGTTCCAGCTAACCGCCACCACTGCTGACTGAGAAGCGCTGCGCCTTCGCCAGTGTGTGGTGACTGGTAGCTGCCTTTGACAGTGGTCTGTGTTCTGGCGAGAGCTTGTCTCTGTGCTTCTTCCCTCACTGACACTTTTTTTTTCAAGACAGTGGGTTTTGTTTGTTTGTTTGTTGTTTTGGTTTTTTTAAAGACAGGGTTTCTCTGTGTAGGCTTGGCTGTCCTGGAATCACTCTGCAGACCAGGCTGACCTCAAACTCACACAGATCTGCCTGCCTCTGCCTCCTGAGTGCTGGGAGTAAAGATGTGGTGGCCGCCACCAGCCACGTATGTCAGGATGGTTGAACATTCTAAAGTGCTTTATTTTTTTTAGTGAAGTCTCTGCACATGCAGAGGCTCCTCAGGTCTGTGAATATCATGATGGAGACTCTAGCCTTGTGATTTAAACTTACTTGCTTCATTTACTTTTTTTTTTTTTTTTTTTTTTTTTTTTGAGACAGGGTCTCACATTACTCAGGCTGGCCTCAAACTTTCTAAGTAGCTAAGGATGATCCTGAACTCCTGACGCTCTTCCCTCACATTCCCCAGTGCTGGGAATCACGCGCCATCACCTCATACTGTTGATTGTGTTAGATTAGCATGTATCACTTAGGCTTTGTGAAGCTGACACGGAATCTCTGCTATTTGGGATGCTGAAGTAGGGTGATCACAAGCTAAGGCTGTCCTAGATAGTGAAGTGAGATTCTATTTCAAGAGGAAAAAAAAAAAGGAAAAGGAAAAATGCCTGGGGCTATAGTTCAGTGGAACAGTGCTCATACACATGAGACTCTAGGTTCAATCCCTAGTCCCAGTGATACAGAACATGTGTATGCCTGTGCATGTGTGTATGCACATGTGTTTGTGTGTGTGTAGTGACTTTTCACCGACAGTACATACCATGAGGATAGTCCCAGAATTATCTTACCATTGACTAGCATAGCACCTGACAACAAACTGTTGAATGGATAAATGATTGGATGAATGAAACAAACCATGTGAGCCTGAACTCAGATTCAGCGATCCAAAAAGACTGGTTAAAAACACTCATTGAAATAAAAACTTCTAACTTGAGTTATTAAAAAGTAGTGATTTCACAAGAATTCAGTCTTCCTTGATAGGAACTGGAAATCAATGCTCTATTACTTAAATCCTGTCACCAGTTGTTTTCAAAAGTAGGATTTCATCTTGAGCCTGCTCTTGCCTGTGCCCTCAGCAGAGTGAGCTTACTGCAGAATGGCAGCTAGGGGCCTGTGACAGCAGACGATCCATCAGTTCATCTCCAACGTCATCCCCACTGTGTTCCCGGCAGCTGCCTGGCGTCTCTGCTGCTTCTGTGGCCTCAGGACTTCTGTATTTACAATTACTTCCGTCTGGAATGTTCTTCCAGGCCATGTTTGCATAGCTGGCTGCCTTCCTTATTCTGTTAGCTATGCAAACATCACCTTGTCACCTAGGGCTTTCCCTCGCTCCATCAGCTGGCGCTTTCATTCCAGTGTTCCATACTGCTCCATTGGCCCTTGCAGACATGGAGCATACTGAACACTCTTCACACATGCTGCTTAGTTCCAGTGTCTAGGATCAGATAGCACAGAGGCAGGGATTTTAGTTCTTTTGTTCACTGGAGCATCCATGAGTCGGAAACTGTATGTGGCACCAGGCAGGTCAAATCAGTGAGGACAAAGACATATGTGATGCACCTGCACAGCCAGAGACAGACTCAACCATGGTTCCTTCTCAACAACAAATGGTTACAAAAATGTATTGATAAAAGTTTCATGTATGACCTGGTGTGTTGGCACATGCTTGTAATTTCAGTACTCAGGAGGCAGAGACTACTCAGAAGTTTAAGGTCAGCCTAGACTAACTATATAGTGAGTTTGAGGCCAGCCAGGGCCATACAGAAAGATCGAGTTGAAAGAGAAAGAGATAAGTTAAAAAAAAAAAAAAAAAGTTGGTATTAAGCCCATGCTTTGCAACTTGGAACAAAGAACATTCTTCTATTGACTTCCACGCAGTATTCAGGAACACAGAGTACAGAGCACTGTTCCAGATAGCAAAGGAAACCGAGCCCTAAATGCTTCCACACAGATAAAACAGACCATCTAATCATTGTGCTTTTACTGTGTGATTTGAATTCAATTGCAATAAAATTTATTTGAATGATGAACTGCTCAAAAATAATAAACAAAATAAGAACTAATGTACAAAGCAAAAACCTCAGTATTAAAGTCACACTTGGCTGGTTTTCATTTTATGAGGCTGTACAAACATCATTACTGTTTAACTCCAGAACACATCCAGTATCCAAAAAAAAAAAAAAAAAAAAAAAACACCTCCCTTTCTGTCCCCACTCTTATCTCCCTCACTCTCTGCTTCAGTGGACTTGGCTGTCCAAGCCTAACATGTTTAACCTACAATTTATATATTTCTCCTATAGTATTAAAGACATTGGCTGGGTATCATGCTGTAGTAACCAAATAAATTGTCTTTCTCTTAGCGTGAGCACCCAGAACCAGCAGAAAGCACACTGGTCACTCTGTGATGAAGTAGTAAGCCTATGCCAGTAACTGCAAAGGCCAGCCTATACTGTCCTAACTACTGTGGCTTTGTTTCAAATCACAAAATTTTTACACACTAAATCAGATGTACAGTAAGAGCCAGAGAAGGAGAATAAAAAAAAAAAAAATTCGAGGATGCCTTCCCCTCTTTAGAAATAAGACTTGGAGAGACACTACAGACAACTTTCTCTTACTGTTACCTCTTTTTATCGGTGCCTGTGGGCGGCAAACAGGGGTCTATGGTCACCATTGGTGGAAGAGATAAGGGGCTGGCAGTACTGTACAGAACACCAGGTACACCAAAAAGGAGTTATGAAATGTGAGTAACTTGATTCCTCATTAATCCACACATGATACTGTCCATATTTTAATGAGTTTTTGGTGAATATATTAATATAATTTAAAACGACACATGTAGAAACATGTTGTAAATGACATAATACTATCCAAACATACTCATATCCCTAGTTGCTTTTGTTTACACCATAATTCTCAGGAATTAGTTAAACAAATTTTTGATGTATGGGACTAAAAAAAAGACAGGTCCTCTGCCCTTCAGAGACTGTTAATCTTGAGAGCACTGGAAGAAAGCATGTAAAACACAGTAAACTCCAAAAAGGCAGAGTGATCTCTTACCTCCTAACTGAGGCATGGGTTTCATGGTCTTTTTTCCTTTCTTTTTTTCTTTCTTTAACCCAATTTTTTACTTACATTTTTGCATTTTTTCAAATTAAAATATAATTACATAAATTTCCCCTCCCTATCTTCCCATGCCCCTCACTTGTGTCCTCTTTTTCTTTTGTTATTATTGTGATATATGCATATACACATGCATAAATATATAAGTATAACCTGCTGAGTTTGTTCAGCGTTGTTTGCATGTATGTGATTTCAGGGCTGACCTCTTGGTATTAGGTAACAAATTGGAAAGCTCGCTCCCCGGGAGACTAATTCTCCTGTTTCAGCTGTAGTTAGTTACTTGCAGTTCTCTGTCTAGGGGTGGTCCTGTGAGATTTCCCACTTCCATATTAGCATGCCTATTGGTGTCTTGATTCAGATGCCGCACTGCTGAGGTGTCTGGCTGTAGCCTCTCTCACAGGGTCTTTCTTTATGGGAAAAGGAAGGGCAGACGCTCTGAATCTGGAGTTTATTAAAGTCAGCTTGCTCTGCTTTGGCCCTATGAAATAAATTAGGATTCAGAATGTCTTACCTGAGAATGGAGTCTAACCCTGAACTTGCTATGGTACCGTCAGATTCAAGTTCAGCATTCTTTAAGGCAAATCTTTCCAGTATGTCAAATGTTCTGCTGGATTCCTTGGAAATAACAAACACTTGCTTGCACTTTTCGGTAAACTCTTCATGATACAAATGCTCAAAACTGTGTCTGTAGTCTTCACAGAAAAAAAAAAAAAGATAAGGAAGGTATTAATTTGTAGTTTTACAGCCTCAGTTCTGTGTGATTCTCCTAAAGGCCCAGGAAGAATCCACCCTTCTGTGTCTCTGTCACCTTCTGTCTATGGCTGGACCATTTTTACAGCCCACTGTATAAAGCACTGAAAGCAAACCACAGAACAGCGGTTCTCCACCTTCCTAATGCTGCAACCCTTTAATATAGTTCCTCGTGTGTGTTGTGGTAACCTCCAACCATCAAATTATTTTGTTGCTATCTCATACCTGTAATTTTGCTACTGTTCTGAATTATAATGTAAATATCTGATACACTGTCCCCAAAGGGGTTGTGACCGACAGGCTGAGAACCACTACCACAGACAGATCATTTAACCTTTCTTGTGCCATTTGTACATGGAATCCAACTTTCCGGATCTCAAAGCAACAAGCGTAAAACAACAAATTGATACATATATTCTGTTGTCTAGTCAAACTGATAGCAAGTACAAAGATAGTTCAGTTTTGTGGTATGTGTGTCCTCCTGCAGAGGTTGGAGGATAGAGCATATTTTAAGGGTAAAGTTTTCTAATATGGGTGATAACCACAGGCACAGATCCAACTCTGCCACTGGGGAAGTCATTTAAACCCTGGTACGATACAGAGGGCCAGACTACGAAGGTTCATCCCAGCTCCCTGCTGCCTCAGCTCCACAGCTGCTGCCTGACTGGGGTCAGGGTGTTCCAGCCTACCATAGCATAGGCTGGTCCGGTGGAGTCCAGAAGGCACCCCTTGTACCTCTACAACTAACTGGGCTTCCCTGGGACAGAACAGACTTAGAAACCCAGCTTGGCCAACACTGGCCTCAAGTTTCACGAGTTTCAACAGAATTTAGGAGGACCTTACACTTCACCAAGTCTCTCGAATTAATCTTGACCCTCACTCACTCAAGTTTCTCTACGAATACCCTAAGTATTTGTAATTGATTTTTAAAGTGTGTTTACAAGAAAATGAGTTGTTACAGCTTTTTTTGTTTTTGTTTTTGTTTTTTTTTTGTTTTTGTTTTTGGTTTTGGTTTTTTTTTTTTTTTTTTTGAGACAGGGTTTCAGCCTTGGCTGTCCTGAAATTTACTCTGTTGACTAGGCTGCCCTTGAACTCACAGAGATCTGCCTGCCTCTGCCTTCCTAAGTGCTACAATCACAGGCATGGGCCATCACTCTTCTAAGAGCCAAGAGTCTAACCTGAAATAAGGTGATTGGCATCCTAAGAATTACACCTGTGGTTGACCATTAGGTTCTATATGTACCTGCATTTGCATGAACACACACACACACACACACACACACACAGATAACTTTACATTGCTTTTCAGAAACTACAACTAACCAAATGGTCTACTACTGCCCCAGCTGTAGGCTGTGAGACTCTGACCGCACCTGAGATATTAAAGGGTACCAAAGGTCATGAGGAAAAGACTTAACCCCTGTTTCTAAAGTGTTTTTATTATTTAACCATTATGTATCTTCTTATTAATTTAGTGCAAATATATCCATTTAAGAATAAAGCCCAGGTGCTGAAGAGATGGCTCAACAGTTAAGCGTGCATGCTGTTCTTGCTGAGGACCTGAGTTCAGTTCCCAGCACCCTATCAAGGGGCTTACAATCACTTTAAGTTCAGCTGCAGGGCGCCTGCTCGTGAGCACACCTGCACTCATGTAACACACACTTACACATGGGCATATTCACACATACATACACACAAGTGATTTAAAACTAAAAGTAAAGCCTGGCAGTATGTTGCATGCCTGTTAAGACCAGTATTCAGGAGGCAGAGGCAGGCAGATCTCTCAGTTTGATGTCACTCTGGACTGCAGAGTGAGATCCAGGACAGCTAGGACTACACAGAGAAACCCTGTCGTGAAAGACAAAGCAAGCAAACAAACAATAACAGAAAACTAAAAGTAGAAAAAAAAAGTCTCAAATAAGCTAACTTCTCAATAATATTCAAAATCAGGCTGGGAGGTGGCAGTGCACACCTTTGATCCTAGCGTTCTGGGAAGCGGTGGCAGGCGGGTCTCTGAGTCAAGGCCAGCCTGGCCTATAGAGTGAATTCCAGAACAGCCAGAGCTACACAGAGAAACCCTGTCTCATAAAACCAAAATAATAATAATAGACTAATACAGGGCCAACAAGATGACTCACCAGGTAAAGACCCTTGCTGAGCAAGCCCAGAAAATGAGTGCAAACTGGCAGGGAGAGAAAACTGATTCCACAGTGCTGTCCCCTGGCCTCCACAGGCCTCCACAGGCCTGCTGCAGTCTAAGTGCACAACATACACACATACACACACATGCACATCCAAAGAATCTTACAGACTAACAAAAATACAGTAATGAAATAAGGTGGCCTTAATCCACATATACAGAAAAGCTTGGTTCTTCTACACACTGGTGATTATTAATCAGATTAGTGTCTGGGGTCCCCTCAGTCTCTGTTCACAATCTTATGCTCCTGACTCCTCTTCCAGGTATAGGCTCAGCTCATCAGAACATCACTTTTTTTTTTTTTTTTTTTTTTCACCAGTGACTGGGTCAAATACTAACACATGGCCCAGCCCAAGCTCTTGGAGACACAATGATCCAATGTTAAGACTTTGAACATGGAGCTGCTACAGCCATGGTTCCTTCCATGATGGGGAATTCAAGTTGTTGAGCACACATCAGGATAGCAGGTCCTAGCTCAGGAACACTGAGACCCAAGCCTAGGAATATCATTTGAGCACCAGGATGAAGGCCTGCATGAACTAGAACTAAGCCTTGGCTCAGCGGTTCTATAAGTAAATTTTAATTCAGTAGAATGGAATGGGCGGAAATTCTGTAATCCTCCTTTTAATTGGCATCACTTATAACAGAAAGACTGAAGGAACTGATAATAATATTCTTTCTAGCGTCCCCAGTGGTTTGGCTTACATGCAGTTTCATGTGACCATCACTGAATACAAACAACTTTATGTTGGTCTATATTCTTGGATTCACCACCATCTGTTCCTTACACATTACAGGGTCCCTTGACTACCTGGTCACAGAAAGGATCCGGGACTATCCCATGCACTGTCATTTCACACATCCACACTAATATGTCATCTCTTGGGCACGGGGCCAAGCACAGTCACCTTCCTGCCACCTGCACACAGCACATGCATGTGGACACCCCACCTTTCATAGTACTTTCCTGGCATCACAGGTCCTTCCTGTGTGGGTGTCTGGGTGGAGAATGCTTGCACACTCTGCTGCTGGCTGTTCACTCTCCCACATGCATGCCCACGGGACACTGCTTTCCAAAAACACCTAGCATGGTCGTTTTGGTTGGAGGCAGCGAGATGTGGGGCAGGGCTTCTTACTTTGGCTTGCACATAAATCTCCAGTCAGCTCATTTAAATGCAAACTCATCAGACCTCAAGTGGACCTCAGAGTCTGCCTTTCTATCAAATTCTCAAGCTTGTTAGTTCAAGGATTCCACTGAGTAGTAAAGGATTCTGTGGGTAAGGATTTGAGAATCAGAGGGACCTGAGTTCAAGATCTAGATTGGTTCTTTAGCAGTCCTGAGTAAGACGCTTAAGCACTGTACAGCAACATTCACTTGCTCATCTGCAAACCTGAATGCTATCCTTCAAGGGCTAGACCTTAAGGGTTAAATGTGAGCTATACACATCACCAGACAGTAAAGGGTCCTTCTTTTCCTGACTGTGGCACCGTTGGCATTTAGGGCTAGACAGCCTTCTAATGTGGAGGTCTGTCCTATGCATTTATATGCCCAGCTTCTACCCACCAGACATGAGTGCTTCCCTTCACTCATGATAACCAAAGTTCTCTGCAAATGAGACCAGAGGGGAGGGGACAAAATCAACCCTGTTGAAAACCCCCCTCTATACCTCACGTGAACACTAGATGTTCTGAGTCTCCGAGAGCTCTAACTTCCCAGCAGTCTCCAGTTCTGTTAGGAGCTCTTCTTTTTATTTCCCAAAGTCCCCTTGCAGAGGACCCACGTTCAGTTTCCAGCACCCATGTGCTGTGAGTTATAGGCTCACAACTGCCTATAACTCCAGTTGTATGGATATGACATTCTCTTCTGACCTCAGGCTCCTGCAGGAACATGGTGCACATCCGTGCAGCCAGACACACATACACACACTCACATAAAAATAAATACGTATTTAAAAAGAGAAGCATATGCCACAGGACTGCAGTGATTGTTTCAGGTTGCTCTAAAGGGTGTTACTGGCCCTCAAGATCTGATTACATCTAGCCTTGTTTTGCAAGACATACCTGATTGGTTGATTAAACGGCCTCTACCTAGGCAGGGCAGAATGGGGTAGGCGTGGCTAAGGCTCCCAGGCTCTACAGGACAGGGAATCACAGGAAACAGATGAGGGACAGGAACAGAGGAGGTTAGTGTGGAGGAAAAAGCTACCTGGGCCGAGATGAAAAACTCCAATAATAGCGTGAAAAGGCCCATGTGAAGAATATAAGCAAGTACCATGGGATTATGGATGGAAGGTAGACCAGATGAGGAGGATTAAGGTGGATGGCATTGGATGGGGGCTAGGTGATGATGAATGGTGAAGTTATTGAGACAGTGTAAGTGAAATATCTGCCCGGCCCAACGTAAATAAGGCAATTATAGAATCTAACAGGTGTCTGTGTCTTATTATTTGTGATAGCGGGTTAAATAATAATCCACAATAATCTTAGGGCTAATAATAAACATTATATATAGCCCAACATTCATTTTTTTAGATTTACAACAACAGGTAATGACATAAAATGGTTAATAATTATATTCAATTATTTAAAAGTTCCTTTCCTAGGCCAGTGAGATGGCTCAGTAGACAAAGGTGCTTGATGCAAAAGCCTGATAACTTGAGTTCTGTCCCTGGAAATCACAGAAAAAGCCCAATGAGGTGACCTGAACCTATAATCCAGCACTGCAGGATACAGCAAAATGGAAGATGGAGACAGGAGAACGGATGAAAACTATGGGTCAGACAGACTGGAGTATGCAGATCACCAGGCTGAGAGATGCTGATGGAAACTACGGGTCAGATAGACTGGAGTGTGCCGATCACCACACTGAGAGATGCTGCCTCAACAAAGTAAAAGGCAAGGACCTCCAAAGGCTGTCCTCTGACACACACACACTTCCCGAGGCTGACGGAAGTCTACTGTCTCTACATTTACTAACCTATGTTTTCCGTGATCGTAGTTACTGGATAGAGCTTTTCCACAACAGCCGACCAGTCCTTGAACACCAGGTCACCCAACTCGTCCAGGTCTCTATAGAATCGGACTGGAAGCCCTTTACCGATGATCCTAGCCTTGAGTTTTCCAACCTTATGTTTTCCCTCTTGCAAAAACAGAGAAGCTGAGGACAGCTTTTCTTCTTCCTTACTTAAAGTCCTCAACAGTGCGTTCGAGGTCCGGAAGTAGAAAAATTGAAATTGAGATTGCTTCCGAAATGCTGCTTGGATGATCTCAAACTCTGTGAGGCTGCAGTTGGGAGTCTTCAGGACCCAAGGATAACCATTTTTGGCAGCAATGTATAGATTCTGTTCTCCCTTGGATAAACTCGAGAAGTCCTTTACCTTGGAGAACACGAAGGGTGAGTAGTCGGGGAGGAAGTCTCCATAGGTCTGCCCCAGCAAGCAGATGAAGAAGGGGAAGCACTTGTTCACATAGTCGAGGCAAAGCTTCAGGTGCTGGGCATGGAGACAGGAGTACTGTCGGAACAGGTTGGCAGTGAAGGATTTGTGGGCCTTCAGGGCTGACCATCTCAGGTCCACAGCTTTGAAGTAGGTGCCCCGGGGGCCGCAGAAGTCATTCAGCCGAGGGAAGATGTTGTTGGCCAAAAAGTCTCTCTCTTCTTGAAAATCATCTAGAGTGGAGCAGATGTAAGGCTGGATGGGTTTGTGGGACTTTAAAACGGGTTGAGTGCTGTACAGTTCTCCAGTCTCACTTGTGTTCTTATCCATTACAAGCTGCTTGGGGATGACATCACACCTAGAACAAAACAAGTTCCATCCTGGCCCAATTGCCAAGGCCCACAGCTTGGGTCTCCTTAATTGCGTTTGCTATAAATAAGTGGTCAGCTTTACACAAATTGTCTTTTGAGGAAAGAACGTCCCAGTTAAACAATCTAGACAAAGTAAGGGTAGAAAAGGCAAGACAGATTGACTTTAGGGTCACAGGCAGCTTGTGTTTCCCCCAATTCCCCACAAGGCTTTGGCTGAAGAACTCACAAGTCGGAAGCTGGATGGTAAAATGACACAAGGCCTCCCTCCTTCCCCAGAGTCCCGCTCACCATCCCAGGTCCTTTGGCCAACCACAACCTCTGCCCCATAGAAATGGAAACATTCGTGTAAGGTGACATGCTGACAGTGAGAAAAGGAAGGCAAGTCCACAAACGGACCCTAATGCAGTGAGGAGCAACAGGGGACACAGAAGGTTCGCGACAAGTAGCTGAAGGATGAAAACAGGCATAAACTGGATCAGCCCAGGAAAAACCAGCCAAAGAAAGTCTGCATCTATGAGCCTGCTGACTTTATCTGCAGTTACGTAAACTCACACAACAGTCCACTCACCTACTGGAATTTAATCCTACCTAAACACACTCCAATGATGACACAGCTGTCCCTGAGGAGCTAAAAATAATTACAAGACAACTTCGCTGTATGGGCTTCTTCTCATGCAGCTACTTCCACACCGAAGGTCACTTCTTAAAGTTATATTTACTCTTTTCACATATAGCAAAACATGTCAGAAGTATAACATAGCTCCTAAGATCTCCTACCAGCATGGTAAGTCCATGCCTTAAAAACAACAACAACAAACAAAAAACTATTAAGCCTCCGCACTGAATTGCTTCAATAATCCCCGCAAGAGGAACACCACCCTACTACACAGACCAACGGGCAAAGTCTGGACCAGATAAACAGTGCGTCCAAGGTCATACCAAGAGAAAAGGCAGGCTTGCCGGCTTGCTTGAATTTACTTACTCGTTTATTGGTGGGTGTCCAGGAATGTGTGTGTGCGTGTGCGCACATGTGCCACAGCCACCATGTGGAAGCCAGAGGGCAACTTTTGAGAGCCAGTTCTCGCCTTCCATCATGTGGGGTCTGGGGAATGAACTCAGGTCATCAACGTGGGAGCAAGTGCCTTTACCCTTACTTAAGGTCAACATTTATACACAGATCAGCCTGATTCAGAATGTGTCTATGTCTCCATATTCAGAGAGGTAAGACTTGAGGTGTGATGAGTCCATAAATCAATGTGTAGAAAGCACCTGCCTATAAGGAATTTTATAACAAACAAGAAGCAATGTAGAGGTTTTTTTCGATGTCACATTTTTTTTCCCCAAAATTCTAAAAAGATGACAGAATAAACACCATGGATATTTTATTAATAGAAGTCTCACTTATCACATAGGAGGGTAGAAATAAATTATCAATCCTTGCAAAAAAAAAATCTACCACCTCTCATTGCCATGTGATCAGAGGTCATTTCTGTGTGTGAAGAAGTATGTGTGTGTGGAATATAGTATTCTATATTGTGTGGGCAGAAGCCAGGGGTTCACCTTGAATACTGTTCCTTCGGTGTTATTCACCTTATTTTTGAGATAGGGTCTGTCATTGGTTGAGAAGTTGCCCCAGGGGTCTGCCTGGCTCCACCTCCCCAATCCTGGGATTATAAGCACATGCCGCCATGCCTACCTTTTCTGAGTGGGTTCTAGGGAATGAATTCAGGTCCTCGGGCTTGCACGACAGGTACTTTACCAGCCTGACAGCCATCTTCCCAGCCCTCCCCCTCCTCTCACTTTCAAGGGCCTGCATGGATGCTCACAACCTTCTGTAAGTCTAGTCCTAGAGGATCCAATGCCCTTCCCCAGGCTCTGAGGGCACAGGCGGGCGCACATAAATGCGCGCACGCTTACACACGCACCCAGAAAAGTAACCAGCAACAAATATGGCCAAGTGCCAAAAATCAGTGACCTAATGAATCTACTCTCTGGGAGTCACTTTCAACCAAAGAAGCCAAGAGGTGAAATAACAAAACAAAACAAAACTACAGGCCTGGCACGGTAGTGCACTCCTGTAATCCCAGCACTCGGGGAGGCAGAGGCAGGTGGATCTCTGTGAGTTCAAGGCCAGCCTGGTCTACAAAGCAAGTCCAGGTCAGCCAGAGCTACACAGAGAAACCCTGTCTTGAAAAAGAAATGAGAAGAAAAAAAAAGATAGATAGATAGATAGATAGATAGATAGATAGATAGATAGATAGGTGAAAGAGAGCAAATCCTGGCATGGGTGGCTCAGCCCTGTAGTCCCAGCACTCAGGAAGTAGAAGCAGGACAATGAAGGCCAGTGAGACCAAACACATCAGAGTGTGCCTGGATTTCAGATCAGCAGATCCCATGCGAAACAATAAATGGGTGTTCCTTTGAGCTGCAACTTACCACACAGCAAAACCTCATTCAGAGTCACAGATTGGTTCAAGTTCATTTATTTTCATTTCTTCAATACTGTATATAGTTTTTTTTTCATACTAGAATTATGTCTTTGTCTATTCCCACATTTTTTTTCTCTAATACAAATGAAGTTTTTGTTTCAATTTTTATGTTTTTGCAGGAGAGCAAGACTTAATTTTTACAAGTCCTCTTAAAATCATCTTAAAATTTACCAGATTTTCATATTTGTTTGAGACTTTAAAAAAACTTAGGTCTCAGGTATCTGGGATAAATAAATAATTACAAAATAAGGAACTCCATCAATCTTTCTTTTCTTTCTTTCAATTTTCCAGAAAGGATCTCTCTGTGTAGCCCGGCTGACCTGGAACTCACTCTGTAGACCAGGATGTTCTCCAACTCAGAGATTTCCCTGCCTCCGCCTCCTGTGTGCTAGATTTAAAGGTGTGCCCCACCACATCTGGCAATGTTCTTTACAGTTTTTTTCCTTTGGTTTTTCAAGTGTTTCTCTGTGTAGCCTTGGCTATCCTACACTCACTTTGTAGACCAAGCTGGCCTCAAACTCAGAGATCCTTCCTCTGCCTCCCCAAGTGCTGGGATCACAGGCATGTGCCACCACACCCAGCTAATTTTTCTGAAAAGCGTATCAATTGTTTTGTCTTTCTCTTATTACTAGGCCCTCCTAATGAGTACAGAACAGCACTGGCTTCTCTACCTACCTCCTGATTCTTTCTGAAATGCTTTTTCTTTTAATTTTATATCAGCTTATTTACTTTACATTCCAAGCGTGCCCCTTCCCTCCCCTCCTCCCAGTTGCCCCACTTCCCTCCTTCCCCCTTCCCCTCTCCCTTTCCCTCCATCGGAGGAGAGGTCCCTCTCCCTGTATTAACCTTCCGCAGCGCATCAAGTCACAACAGGACTGAACATATCTTTATCCCCTGAGGCCAGGCAAGGTAGTGCTGCCAGGGGGAGGTGATCCAAAAGCAGGCAATAGAATCTATGTTGGAAACAGCCCCCGCCCCCTCCAGTCGCCAGGCGCCCCACAGGAAGACCAAACCACCAGTAGGCTACAGTGTGTCCAGAGGGTCCAAGCTCATTGGCTGATGTCTCAGTCTCTGGAAGCTCCCATGAAATGTTTGTTAGTATTTTGTTTCATTGTAACAGCAGTTGTTAGAGTTACAATACAATACCCACATTAAAATACTTTTAAAGACGTGAAAGAAACAAATCTGTTGAGAAGGGATTCAGTAGTAACAGGAGGTATGTAGATCAAAAACACATCAAACATGTGCATAAAGCTGGCTAAATAAAAAAAAAAATAGCAACAAACAAAACAAGGAGCTGGAGAGATGGCTCAGAGGTTAGGAGCAATGGCTGCTCTTCCAGAGGTCCTGAGTTCAATTCCCAGCAACCACATGGTGGCTCACAACCATATATAATGAGGTCTGGTGCCCTCTTCTAGTGTGCAGGCAGACCACTGTATACATAACAAATAAAATAAATAAATAATAAATCTAGCCCAAAATGGATTAAAGAATTAAATGTGAGGGATTGGAGAGATAGCTCGTGGTTAAGAGCACTGTCAGCTCTTCCAAAAGACCAGGGTTCAATTCCCAGCAACCGCATGGCAGCTTCACAACTGTCTGTAATACCAATTCCAAGGGATCTGACACATTCACACTAATGCACATAAAAAAATTAAATGTTATATAAAAAAAGAATTAAATATGAAAAGATACAGCCCTTTAAGTGTACAGTTTGATGAGCTTTAAGCACCCAAGCTCAAGAATGTTCCCCCAAAATTCTGTGGCTCTCTTTTGTGGAATTCTTCCGTCAGGCTCTCAGGTAGGTTCTGTACTTCTGCTTACATCCAGGTGTGCTAGTGCATCCCTGTAATTCTAGAGCTCAGGCGCATTTGACGCTAGCCAGCGCTACCTAGTAACTTTGAGACCAGCCTGGACAAGGTAGCAAGATCTTGTCTCAAAAAACAAACAAAGAAACAAAGAAACAAATAAATAAATAAAATGAAAAGATACACCATACACTTACTTACAGTGCCCTTCCCTGGTTCATGCCTGCCCATGCTCTGTAGTTATAGAGACCATATATTTTTTGCTCACCCATGAAATTCCAGCCCCATAATACCTATCACATGGCAGGGCCTATATTTGTTGTATTAATAAAGAAGAGACAGAGACAGAAGGAAAGGAGGGATGGAAGGAGAGAGGGAGAAAGGGAGGGAGGGAGAAAGGGGAGGGAGAGGGGGAGGGAGGGAAGGAAGGAGTAAATCAATTAACCTAGCAATTCACCCCAATTCTTCAATAGTACCAAATGCCTTTCCTGCCTTGATCTCCCCATAGCTGGATTACATCTGCCTATGAAAGGAGGTATTCCTGCCCCTTTACAGGTCAGGAATTTCCTTTCAACTTTAACTGCAAGACAGGGGACTAATGGCATTAGATCTGCTCAAGAAGTATGACAAAAACCACAACAAAGGTAGAAATTGCCAGGAGTAGCCATAAACATACAGCATTAAACAGAAAAGCCAGCTGGGAGTGGTGGCACACTCCTGTAATCCCAGCATTTAGGAGGCAGAGGCACGTGGAGGTCAGTGGTCTGCAAAGCAAGGTACAGGACACCCAGGCCCACAAAGAAAGACCACATCTGCAAAAATCAAAACTAAAACAATTTAAAAACAGAACAAAACAAAAAGGCCTAAAGATACGGCTCAGTAGATAAGAACACTTGCTCTTGCAGAGAACCAGGGGTCAGTTCCCAGCACCCACTGGGAACTGGGAACTAGATGGCTCTCTAGGAAGCAAGAGAACCAGATTCAAAGGTGAGGAGCTTAACAACCATAGACTGGGGAAAGACAGAGCAAAACAGACATGAGAGATCAGTGACAGGTCAAAAGTCCGAAGAACAGAACATGGGAAAAATACTAGGAACCCAAGAAACTGTCATTGTGCGTGCGCGCGCGCGCGCGCGCGCGCGTGTGTGTGTGTGTGTGTGTGTGTGTGTGTGTGTGTGTTTCTCTATCCTCTTCGTGAACTTGGAGTTTGCCGTTTTGGCTAGGCTGTTCGCCAGAGAGCCCTGTCTGTTTCTGCCATCACCACCCCACTCCCAGCTTTGGGGTTAGACCAGCATCTGAATGCTGAGAATCCTCACTCAGGCCATAGTGGGAGTGGGGCAATCATTTTAGCCCCTGAGCCATCTCTCCTCAGCTGACACCCACTTCTTCTACAGGGAGCTCAGTCAGATGAGGGCTGACCGTCCATTGTTTGCCAGCCTGAAGGTGGTTTCTCTCTCGGTCTCTCTCTTTCCTTCTTTCTATCTAGGGACCATCATCTACAGAAACTTCTACCCACAAAATACAGCAGCTTTATTTTGGAAGACAAATCTTATTCTC